GACTGCTTCTAGGAGATTTTGTATTAAAACATCCCCTTAAAATAACATTAATGACAAATGGCGCACCTTCTATAGATACTGTCATTTTCCCTTTAAAATGCACAGGACATTTTTGAGAACAAAACTGGAATTAATACCAACAATCATCTTTCACAGTGCAATTTTTGGTATTCAATATCTCAGTAGGAAAGGTCTCGTGAGAAACTGTCTCTCAGCGGCTTTCTCAGCATTCTGTGCCTCCTAGACCATGTTCAGTCATCATTGGGCCATTCTTTTTCTTTTGGTGGATTTCCATGTATACACCTGGGGAAAATATACTCCTTTGTTGGTGGCTGGCCTGGATCCACTGCATTTGTGACTGGCATGAAGGCCAGCCGTTTCACTAGTACACAGAGTGATTCTTTTTTAAGTTCTTTAGCTACAATAGCTTGCATCAAGCGAGTCATACTGAGTCTCATTGAAGAAGTGGTTTTACTTCTAAGTAAACATGCATTGGATGGGCTATATAACTGCAGAATTAAATTTAGTGCCATGCATTGCTTTTTTTAATAAACAATTTTATTTTTATGCAAGACCAACAAAAACAAACATACATATAAATTGGGGATGCTGTGTTTTAGTGTACAATAAAGACCCCTTTAAGGTAACAAGCACTATTACAGTGGTTTTTTTCCTTGAGTAGGTGGAGATACCCCTCATATATTCTTAACCTTCAGAAGAATGAGACTGACCTGAAATGCCTAGAAGCCTCTATATTAGCAAAAACATAAAGCACGGGGAGAATGCAATTTCAGCACTTCATATGGATATGGATGTAATCATCCTTCAAGCTGCTTTCCTGGTGCACCCTGTCATTTGCATAGGGGGCACGTATGCTGGATTTATGAGTATTCACTTGCTTAGGGCAGGCACCCAATAATGATGAGACCAACAACCTGAAGGAAAATCACAACTGCCGAGCTTATAATATTCAACTGGTTCCTATAGCTCACACCCACTCCTGGTTTAATATTAGAACTATTTTTCACACTGAAACTGAAATAGTACAAAATATGGGCCCGCTGTAATTGTTGTTAGATTATGTGTCACCCTGATAAGATGTAACAAATATTTTCCTACCCAGCAGGGCCCGTTTCCCTGTGGGTAATGGATGGAGAAACTTCTCATAGTCTGCAGGCAATCGGTCGTAAAAACTTCGCCGAGAAGATTAATGCAATAAGTGCAGCACTTCTGGAAAATGGGCAGAGCTGAATTAAAATAATGCAGTGATTTTTCCACATTTAATAATAAACCTTAACCAAGCAAGACGGGTTTTTTTTTGGCAACCTTTGAACACACTCTTATTTTGATTATTGATTTTAAGTGCAAACCACAGCTTTAGTACAAAGCGCTGTTATTATTTCAATTGAACTGTTTTATCAGTTATATGATGGCTATTTTCACGGGCACAGCTTTGACACCAATAATTCTGATGGGCATCACTTAATAGACCAGATAAACATTCAGGTACCATTTAGCATTCATGGATTTCTGCATCCCTTTATATCATGGGTTTATGTCTGTGCTAGACATTTTACAGCTGTTAACTGTTTTTGTAAGGTAGCACCTCTGTTTTCTTGAGCTGCTCAATAGTAAGAAATTCTTTGAATGGGACATGTATTTAACTGGATTATCAAATAAAAAAACAATTCCACTTTTATTAGGAGCAGAATACTTCTAGATGTGATACAACAACTGTTAAAAGCTCTAATATACATCTTAATTGCAACAACCTCTAATATATTAGTTTTCCTTTTTGGGCTTACAAACTTACTGCCCATCACTTACTCTGCAATGTCAGCATGTAGATTCTCAGCCATGTACAGAAATGGCTCAAGGCCACACCTCTGTGTTCTTTCCTAGATGAACAAGGGCAGTTTACTACTGGCATTAACATATACCACTTTACATTTGTGGAAGTAGGATAGGCAGGATATGCTGCGACTGCAAAAATAAGTGACCTTGCAACTAGCACTGGTCTGGATCAAGTCATGACCAGCTGCAGAGAAAAGGTACAGAGAAGTCAGTTTTACTGGAAAATTCCAAATTTTAGTTGTGCACGCATATCTTGGGGACTGTAGATGTACATGGGAGAGGAACCCCCCCCCCCCCCGAGATTCTGCTTTTGCCTTCTCCAATGATCATACAATAAAGAATCCTATAGCTTTGGAAATTATTTTGTGTCTTTATTCATCATATTCCCAAGACTGCAGGTTAACAGCATATTGACTGTTCTGGCCCTTTGCTGGAAGGAAATAGTACCCTCCCCCCCATGCCCCCAATGTTCATGTTCTCTGTAGACAATGCTGCAAACAACGTGGTTCTGTCACCAACTCCCCACAGCCTCTGCCAACAGTTTGGGAGCTTTTGCTTTAAGGCAGTTAATGGCCAGCTGATGGCATACGGGTGAGACACATACTGAGAAACAATCCTGTCTGGCCTCCAGCTGCCTTCCCAATTTTAATCATGGCGCAGTAAATGGTTTCCTCCACACTTGCAAAGAAAAGAAATCTGTTTTCTAACACACTGCCTATGAAAGATGACCTCCATGTTAATGCTATGTGGCTGTGGATTTTGTATGCAACACATAGTCTCCATATTGGTCCACGAGTTATGGGTATGTTGGCTGCTTGGTGAGATCTAAGAAACAGCAGAGTTGACACATCAATTACTTGCATTTCTGGGTGATGTGGTAATGGACACTTCTACACTGTGCTGCAAAGGAGATATGGAATCCCTTTTCACATTTAAAAAACTCACATCTTACCACGGGGGATATAATATGTACAAGGTTCCCCTTTGCATGATATGTGGAAGCACAAGTTACTCACTGCTGCTTAGAACATGCAAACAGATCCAAGATAAGATTGTAACTGGGGCTGACACAGCAATGAGCAGTGATAATCCGTTTCTAACCACTACTGTATGCCCATTCTCTGGTTTTAGGGATATTTTTAGACGGCAATGAAATTTCCAATGGCGTTGTATATGACGTTTATGAGAAATCCGTTCAAATCTAGAAGCAAATGCTTCATAGCTGTAGTGTCACAGAATTCTTTATAACAAAGATAGCCTTCAAATGCATTGTTGTAGTTTTGGAGAGGGAATCCAGCTTTTAAGAAAGCAGATCTACTCCGCTTATTTCCAGTATCATTCACAAAATATTTGATCTGCTGCCATTTAGCTTTAGCTACAAGAAAAAGGATCAGAGGCAGATGACTTAATCATAAGGAACCATTAGAGCCACATGACAAGCGATTATATTTTACTTTAAAGAATGCGTTAGATCCTCAGAGGACTTGGCTAGCAAAACACGATGGAAACGTTATTAGCTGCGTAACAGAAGGGCATCGAGATCTTAATTTAGTCTGTTCAGCAGCTGCATATACTTCATGGTTTTAAAATAAATCATCTGTGTGATAAGCAATGTATGTTTCCAAAATGATTTAACATTTAATTGGAGTGCAATGAGTTGCCATAGACTATCTTCCTTTCTTTACAAAGACTGAGCTGTGGTCAAGGAAACATGCAGTGTCTCCCATTCTCAATTCTAAGGTTTTTTTCTGGTAGCTGCTGCCCACAGGCCAACATGGATTAAGCATGCCTAAAAACCTCACTGAAATTAAAGGTGCTCAAACATACTTAAGATTATGCATGGGAAAGAGCAGGTAGAGAAAGAGGTACTTTTCTCCCTTTCTCACAATACAAGAACTCGTGGGCACTCCATGAAATTGCTGAGCGGTCGGGTTAGAACGGATAAAAGGAAGTACTTCTTCACCCAAAGAGTGATTAACACTTGGAATTCACTGCCACAGGAAGTGGTGGCGGCTACAAGCATGGACGGCTTCAAGAGGGGATTGGATAAGCATATGGAGCAGAGATCCATCAGTGGCTATTAGCCACAAGGTATAGATAGGGGCTCTGGGGCAAGTGATGCTCTGTCATCTTGGTGCTTGGGGGGGTCAACAGTGGGATGGCTTCTAATGTCCTGGCCCCACTGGTGGACCTCCTGATGGCACTGGTATTTCTGGCCACTGTGTGATACAGAGTGTTGGACTGAATGGGCCTTGGCCTGATCCAACATTGGCATCTCTTATGTTCTTATGTTCTGTGTTGGGCTGTGGCTGCTCCTTAAAAGGTATGAAAAACTTTTGTCTTAAACCATGAGGGTTAGAAAGCAACATGTTTGAAATGAAAAGTTTATACTTTGAAAATCCATCACTTGAGAGCCCCATGAATCTTGGGCACATCTGTGTGAGTCATCGCAAATTATCTACTCCATTAGCACTTTCCTGCCATGCAACTGCTTTCTTTGGTAGTTACACTGAGGATGAAAGATTGACAGATAAATATCCAGTCCTGTCGGAGCAGGGGATTGGACTAAATCTCCCTTTGCTCCCTACCAACTTTAGTTTCAGAACAACCCAGCACTTAAAAAAGAGAAAGATGAGACAACTTCTGTGTTCATTTTTTATATCCAAGACCAGCTTCATAAAAATAGCTACCCAAGGGACTGTCTGCTCTATGTCAGCTGCATTTGCCATGCTCCTCCTTCATCCTTTCCCTCCATCATCGCACTAGCCTGAGACTGGCAAAAGAGCTACATGTACACTTGTCGTAGCACTATAATGAATAGCGATGGGCATAAACTGGTTCATGAGCCAAGACTTGAGCTGAACTTGGGCCAGTTTGGTGCTTGAGAACTGATGCTCAGGGAAGGTGCATTCCTTGAACATTTGCTGGATGTTTGGCCAATTTGGTCCAGCTGTTCGGGGCCAGCCATTTAAACCTAACTGAAGAGTGCAGGGGGTCTGCTGCTTTGCAATGTTTTTTTGTTTTTAAATAAAGCCCCTTCCTGGGTGATCCCCACCCTCTTTCTCTTGGCCAAGAGAAAGGGGGAAAGGAAGTCCTTTCCCGGGCAATCCCCCCCTTTCTCTTGGTCGTGGAGAGCTGTGGCTGGGAGAAAGGTGGAAGGGAAGTCCCTTCCAGGGGGAACAAAACTTGCAGACCAGTTTGGTTTGTGTGGGGCCTGTTTGGTTCGGGGTTCGATCTGTGAGCCACCCCAAACCCTGAACCACCTTTTTTAGCTTCATGCCCATCTCTAATAATGAATACAGGACAGCTCTATGCAGAGTACAACTTGCCCTTAAATGGTAGCCTGACCCAGGTGACTGGCAAATTTCAGTTAATCAAGAGACAACAAAGCTCTCAACCCTCTTGTTGTCCTACTGTGGGTCAGAGGCAATAACTTGTCCCTTGCAAAATGCAAGGTGGAGCCGATTCACACGGTGCGCAAATTTGGCCTTTAGCAACCTAAAGACTGCTGCCCTGCACTCACAGCAACACAAAACAAAGCAAAAAACTTTCATGCCAAATGAATGTCATCCATGTTTTGGTTCCAGAGAATAAGTAAAGCCTGACTTTTACAGGAATTTTTTTTTTACAAAATCACAGGTTTGACACATACCAAAACATGCTTGTTAGTAAAACTTTTTTTAAAAAAAAATTCCATCCTCTCCCTAGCTGTTTTAAAAACAAAATCTGAAAAGAAACAGACAATCACCCTGCTCAGCTCTAAGCAATTTAGCAATCAAAAGAAGAACACAAGGCTGTGCCAATCTGCACCCTCATCATACAGGAACACAGAGTAGGAACCACCAAAGGACTACAGTCTAAGAGATCACTGCATTCCATCTCATCGTCTACATGAAGTAGGAACACAGGTTATTCTAGATCCCACTGTGAAAGTGTGTTTTTTGTATTCATGTACTTCTCAATCCAAAATTAACAGTTCTCTTGCTTTTCTTTCAAGTACTTGAAGAGGATTAAAATGAGCCTCTTAAGACTACAAAAGGGGAACAAACAGCTTCACTTCATGTATTTCTCCTGTTGATCAGCCAGGATTTTTGCTGATGATTTGGCATCATAGAAGAGTTCATTTATTTCTTCAACATGCTCCTTTTCTATGCTGTCTTTTCCATTTATCTTCGCTAGCAGATTGGCTGGAGTGAGCAACTGCACAGCATACCTATGGCCAAATTTAAAAAAAAATGTGCCAAGTTAACACAACAGCTAAAAACAAGAACATCAGAGAAAACTGCAAAAGAAAGGGAGGTACAGAGATTTTTCATGAAGAACATGTTAACTTGTCCATCTGCTGCATTCTTCCAGCATAGAACATTACAACGACGTCTGGGCCCAGATCCAAAGAGTTACTTTAAGCTACATTTGCAGCCAGTGGGATTTTTGACCTTTCCCATTTGACTAGCAGTCTCTCCCTACGTTTGAATGCTGTACCACAAAACTACTTTTGAAAATCCATCCATTTCAGAAACAGTTTGTCACCATGGGAGAATGTAGCTTGAGAAATGTAATGTCAGTCAGTTTGGCTGGGTGAAAACAATTGTATAGTCCTTATGTTATTGGTCCTCCAAGTATTTCACAGCATTACCGTAGTATTAGACTCCATTTTGAGTATAGAGAGACAAGGTCCCTGGGATGACAATGGATTACAGTGTGGGCAGAACTCCTAGCCTAGTGATTAACATGCATTAAATAGGTCACTGGAACGTAATGTTTTGATGGTTACTCTATAGCTATTTGTTCCTGGACACCTTCATTTCTGGAGAAGGCTGCCTTTATGGCATTTCCAAACCAAGTCTTTATCACAAATTTCACAACTGACATGCTTACCTTAATGTTGTTTTGGTGCCAATTTCTCCAAGATGGTTCAATGCTTCCTCACTGATATTAATACCTTCTGTCTGGGCACGAAGCTTTATGATCTAGTGGGGAAAAACATAAGGCAGAGAAATGCTGTCTTAACAGTTTGAACTCTAAAACGCCTTCCTCAAAAAATGGCTGCATATAAAACCTAGTTGGAATATGAGCATGCTTGGAATAGAGCCCATAGCTGGAAGCAGTTCTAATAAGGGTGAAAAGGGTGAAAGGTCTTTTAGAAGGTCTTTTATTTCCAGAGCTGGAAGGCTGGTGGGGAATATACATGGCTTGGTCTTGAGAATCACAGATCAGACTCAGCATCCCATCTGCAATGGCATACTTCCTTTGGGAAGCCACAGCTGTCCTTCAGCTACTCAACTTCTTGCCAGACTTTTTAGCCACTTGACAAATTAGATGGCAAAATAAATAAATAAGTTATAAAGTTCACCTACTCCCACAAAACCACTCAGATAAATCTAATCTATGAAGAACAGTCCCTAGCTTGTACCAGTTTGAAGATCTTTGTAAAGTTGGAGAACAAGAAGAAGATATCGCCAATAAGCCTGAGTGTATAGAGCTGTAACAAAAGTGGCACTAGGCTCCCTGCAGTCCGTATTACCAGTTGAGTGATAAGGGGCAGACTGGATAATGATGTTGTGTTGTAGTGCTGAGATAACTCTGGAACTGCGAGCCTCATATAATACAGGTATTTTTCACTTTGGCAGCTTTGTAAACAAGATATCAAGAAGCACTCGTTTAAATTAAAGCCATAAAAATGCACCAAGGGAATCAGAGTGTGCAAGAGGGGGAAGGGGGGGGTTTGACAAAGCATGCAGCTGTGTTTTTTTTAAAAAATATATCAGTATTTGAAGGAAGCTTTTGGAGTGTTCAAAAAGTGACAGAAGATGGAAGATTACGAAATTCTGTACACTAATCTCCTGTTTTCACACAGAATGTCTAACTAATATTCAGTACTGATCTCCTCTCCAGAAGAACAAACAAACTGTGGCCATGATCCAAAGAACTGTGTGCCCATATGGAATCTGGGATTGTGTTTCTTAATCTGGAGCCCTCAAACAGTTTCAAAAAAGGTTAATGCGGTTGCATGTGCAAAGGTGCTAAAAAAAGATCAAAAATTTACACGGGGGGTGGCAAACGTGACTTGACTGCACACTAGAAGATGATTCCAGCTCTGAGACCACCCTGCTGAAGAAAGATGGAAGAAAATGTGGAGAAAACAACATTTTTGGTGTGTGTTTGCCTTCATTGTAAAAAGAGACGGACAGAACACTGAAGCCAGCAAACAGGCAAGCAACATTTTCTGCAGCTGAATTTACTAGGTGCCATAATCACGAAAACCCCATCATCAACAACACTGAGTTTACCACAAGAGAAGGGGATGTTTTAAGCCACTAAAATAAATAGACAAAATGGGTAAACCCCTCCAAGGCTTCATTTGATAACCAAATACCAATTTGGATTATGGACTCTTGAGTTCCCAAATGAAGTTTAAAAAAGGAATAAAAATGAAGTGGACAAACTTTATCACTCCCACATTGGGAGAAAAGCAGAGGAAGGACCAGGACCAGAGGGAGGTTCTCTGCAGGAGAACCTTGCTCAAAGAAAACCACCTCCTCCCCCAAACTACTTCAAAACAGTTCTAAGGGCTACATATGCACACTGCCCTCCTATTGCCAGAGAACATGGCAGCAGTGAGAGGCAAGCGGTCATCCATCACCACTGGAGTTAGGCTGAAAGAAACAAGTGGCTTGCTGCTTGTTTGTCTTCAGCTCACGGCCCGAAGAGAGTGTGGAATAATGTATTCAGGAGTACATTTTCCAAGCCCAATCCAATCTTCCCTTTATAGTAGGAGAGGAACTACTGCATTACAGTATAAAGGACTGTGTGGGGGTGGGGGTGGTGCAGGTGGCAGAAATTAGCCTCAGAGGAAGTACATTAAAAATCCTTAAATTATAAAGGGAAAAGCTGCAGTTCAAACTTTGATCTATTTTGTGCTGACCTTTGCAGATAGTGAACCAAACCCTCCCACAAGCCCCCAGGAGATTTAGGGTAAGTTGCCTACTTACTAATAACCTGCTCTGGAGGCAATCAGAGGCAACAATAAATATTTTTTCTTTGCTTTGTGAGTTCAGATGCACATTTTTGGACTCTTTTTTTTGGGGGGGGGGAACTGAAATTTTAGGAAAAATAGAAATATATGCAATACTTATTATCCTGTCAGACCTAAATTAAAATACTGCTTTAACAACATAAAATGCATTGTTTATAACTTAGCATACAAAATTGCACCATTTGACATATTTATGGAATTTAATAGTTACAAATGCCTTAGTTATCTATAAGCAAAATCTATAAGCCAATACTTGAGAGAAAGCTGCAAGCTGATGTACCCTGTGCTATCTTAGTACATATACTTTAATTTTTGCTATCTGGTTAAAGAGAGCTTAGTTCTCAATAAAACTTTCAGAGTTTTCCTCTGAGGCTTTGGTGCAGTTTCTGCCCTACCTCTTTCTGATATTGGTTTTCCCTCCAGCAAGGTAGGGCAATAAGCTACTTGTTACCAACTCATGTCACAGTGATTTGAGAGAGTGGTTAATAGGTCAACCACAAATCAGGTCAAAAGGACAACAGAAGGTATGCAACGGTTGAAAAGCAATGAAAGCCCTGCATGCTCCCCTCATGAAAATGAGGCGTCCTAGATACAGAAATACAACTTGGATTTAAGAGCTGCCTATGTCTACAGTATGCCCACCTTGTCTTTAAAAGCATTTCACTCACGCTAAAGTGAAAATATTTCACAGGAGTTTTTTTCCCCAGTACTCCTCAAAATTTCCAGTTTTTTCATTGGAAACACTGGAAAGGGAACTTTTGAAAAAAACACCCCCTGCCCGAATATTGCCCCCCCCCCGGGCCTTTACACCTCTATTTCTGATTATCTCCAAATGTGAGTGAGAGGTTGTAATGACTACAAACAATTGCTGGGTATCAATTTTTCATCTTTTCTGTTAATACAGAAAAATCCAAATCTTGTCCAAATGAAATACAAAAATGGGACACATTTCAAGATACTATTTATCAAAACCAGATTCAGGAGAAACATTTCTAAGCTTTATTGAAATATAAATAGAATAATCACAAAAAATGAACCAGGTTGGAGATCCAACTACAATTCAGTGACTGCAAAACTGAGCTAACGTTTGTTATCATAATTACACCTCCACTAGAAGAACTTTATTGCTTCACCATTTTCTTGTAAAAGTCAGAGGCACTCAGCTCCATTTCAGAAGCCCCAGGAAGAAGCCCTTGTGTTACAGAAGTAGTAAATGTCATAATACACTGAATTCAATGCAATGCAAGAGCTTGCGGCTTTTGTGAGCACAGTAGTGAGTGAGATGGGCAGTCACCAAAAAGATCACATGCCAAACTGCTAAACTTGGTCTTTAAATCATTTGATGGCCTCGTGGGAGGCTTCAGGGCAGTCCAATTTGCATATTATAAACATACACTGACCTGAGCTCAACAACAATATCAAAAACCCCTTGAAATAATACTCACTATCTTCTCTCCCCTTGTGGGTGTCAAAGAGCAAGATAAAATGCAGGAGAAATCCAAAACAGTGCAACCACCCAGTTGAACTGTCAGGCTTTTTGAAAACATGGGAACTTTTAAGTTTCCTTTATCCTCAGTCGCTTCTACTGTAATCTACATCCTGGTGCGATAGCTATATTCTCTTGATACCAAAATGGAATGGGGTCCTAGTTCAAGCTGAGTAAGAGCAGAAAAATTAAAATATGTACAGACTCTTGTACACTTTTGAGTATAACAGCTGCATTACAAGTTTAAAGAAATGTGGTGAATTAAGAAATTGGTTCACCTGGTGATTAATGCTAGTGTTTTGTCTCCTATGGATAGACAATGTTATCAATGCTTTTCCAGGCAGCAGATCTGTGTTGTTTTTAATATCTGCATACTTAAAATGCATCTTTAGCAAACTTCTCATATGAAGTCCTACTTATGAGCAAGTTTTACTCTACAAAAGGCCCTTGTTAATATACAATTCAGTCTAGGGAACCCCCCCCCCCAAATGAATTCTGCAAGCAACCACTGTTTTTAAATGAGAGAAGCAAGTTCCATTCCCTCATCCGGAGTGAACACCTGAAGCTGCCTTATACTGAACCAGACCCTTGGTCCATCAAGGTCAGAATTGCCTACTCTGACTGGCAGCAGCTCTCCTGGGTCTCAGGGTCTTTCACATCACCTACTGCCTGGTCTTTCTAACTGGATATGCTGAAGATTGAACCTGGGATCTTCTGCATGCCAAGCAGATGCTCTGCCACTGAGCCACAGCCCCTCCCTTTCGGTGGCTGAAGTTCCAGAGAGACCTCCCCTCACTCAACAGTATTTCACGTAATTAAGAGGGTTACCTGTTTCATTTCTTGTGGTGTATACAGCATGGTCCTAATTATCATTACCCTGTCCAGAAGGTCCAGAGGTATTCCATGAGGAGAGAGTATATCTTCTGTACCCCTGCAAAGGTATGCAGAAAAATCCAGTTTTGTTGTTTTATTTTTATTACAATTCCACCAGAAGGTCTCTGTCATTCAATACAGCATTTGAATACATAGGGGGGAGAAGCCTCTTTTTCAGCCTTGCGTCCCGGAATGGTCTGAATTCTAAGTAAGTGAGCTAGCCAACTATAAAATGTGACAGAGTTGAAATAATTTTCTGGAAACATTCTGTCATCACAAGATATCTTAATTTACCATTTAAGCACAGACATTTTAAAGCATTTGACTGATGAACATGCCCGTCCCTCTACCAATACACCTTATTTTCATAAAACAAAACAAAAAAAAATATTTCTGGAAAACTTCTCTTCTCCATTAGAGGGCACTCTAGTTTCATCTGAAATTCCTTCTCATTTAGATGATTTTTGGAAATTCTACTTGGTGGGTTGGGTGGGGGGAGGATTAGCCATTTAATACCGGTAATCAATTTTCCTTTTTTTACTAGGCTAGAGTAGCACCTATTCCTCATAAAGGCATCATGAAGAGCAACTCTTCCTACCAATAAGATACTTTCATAACTGATACCTGGCTACCTCCAACCTGTGTGCAGAAAATATTCATCTGTGTGTATTCCCCTGAATCTCTGTGTAAAGGCTGTTGACTCTTGACTTTCAGAGTATGTAGAAAAACTTGGTGGACAATTAAGAACTGCAAACATTCAAACAATACATGCTTAAACCTTACAAGACCCCTACAAGTTGACTGTATTGACTAAGTATCAGTGAGAAAGGTGGACTATGAATAACATAAATACATATATACATGTATACATATATACATGGCCTGGGTACTTCTTCAGCAAATGTTAGTGCATTTCAATCATCTAGTATCTTGAAAGATTCATGTACCAAATACTGTTCTGTGCTAAACGTACAATCTCTCTCAGAGGCATTTGTTGGCTATGCAGATAAGCCTGAGAGCTTTATGTCCTGCACAAAACATCAAATGCCAGCAGCAGGAGGGGACAGTGATAGCCTTTTGCATGTCATCTTGCTGCAATCATTCAACATCATTAATTTCTAGCAGGAGGATTTTTTTACTGGGTTATTATGATATACCTTATGATATACCTTCACAGATGCTTTACTATTACTTTGTATTGATTCAGATCAATACAAAATGATTCACTGTATGGTAACTGTTCAGTGCTGTGCTCATTTTGTTAGCTGCCCTGAGCATGCCCTTGGAAAGTCTGGATATAAAATTAATAAATTAGTAGCTCCAGGAAAAATGGAAGACGCAGATGCAGCGAAAAGACAAGAGTGAACTCGAGTGAGAAATAGATTATGTATCTGAGTAAAGACAAGGAATCTTACAAACAGTATTTGGAAGCCGACTGTCTAGCACCTGCTTGTTGGATACAGGCTACACAGAATATAGCTAAACTTGAGGTGGGAAAGAGGACAATGGTATTATATGCATTTAATAAAGAGCTGGTGTTTCATAATCCCTCTATCATAGGACAAAACATACACTTGTTCGTGGGCAAAGGGGGTTGGCAAAGCCCACACCAATAAGTCATGTAAGAGAACAGACAGCTTATTAGGGTGCCTATAAAAAGCAAGAACAAGAAATATGATTTAACAACAGATAGCAAACATATGCAAGGGGTGCAATCCTGTAGGGAGGCACAGACAGGTTTGGTGCTGCAAATGGATTTCAGTAGTATTATTCTGAATATTTCTCAGGGCAACTGCAAAGGAACAGACCAGGAGCCAAGAGGGGCAGAGAAAAAGATTATGAAAAACCCACATTGCTTTCCTCCCTGACTCTCTGAGCAATTCACTAATTCTTGGTTGTCACAGTGTGAAGAATGTTTCCCCTGCAGTGAAGCCCTTAAGCAGCCCTGCAGCAACAGATATGGTTGTGACCCATCAAGATGATTATCACAGGTGTATCAGCACCAAGGATAAAAAGCTTCCAAAGATCATAGCTCTTTGTGCTGAAGCAGCTAACACCGAGGCTTATGGGAAGACGAGACCATGCAGGAGTAAGCTTTAAGCACTGTACCTGATTACACAGTTCCCCCGGTTGGAAGCAAAGATGACAATCGGAGCAATAGAAGATTCCAGTGCTCGGTGCAAATACGTGAAGCACTCAATATCCAGCATGTGAACCTCATCCACAAAGAGCACACCAGGGACTAGCTCAGCAATGCCTTGATCAATGTATTTATTTACCACCTTGTTGATCTCTCCTCGGAGCTTGTCTGGGGGATAGGAAAGATAAATGCTATCAACCTTGCACTTCTGTAAAACTCCCAAGGCAACTTATAATAACGGGGGACCCCCCCACTTTGCACCATCTCCATGGACTTTCTGTTCTGAATGGATAAGTACCCCCCATACACAAAAAATAATGTGTATACCTAAGTAAAATAAAAGTTAGCTATTTAGCTCATTTAAAAAGAAATGGGTTGGTAGAGTTAAGTTTCATTATTACGGTTCCATGCCAATTAGTACCCGATTCATAATATTTTTTTGGACAAAACCCTTCTGATAGCCCAATAATGTTTTCATTATCACACATCAGAATTTTCAAACAGGAAAAAATGAACATATCTATGAGTGAGTTTTCTAGCCTACAGATAAGCTCTGGATCTATAGTATTTGCTATCCACCAGAAATACAAGATTTTCCCATTTATTTGTACTACTCAGTTCCTAACACATTCAACTAGGTCAAATCAGCTCCTAGCAGTATGTGGAGAACTTTTAGTGAGACTGAACAACTTTTGACTTACAACTGAGATTTCCAGAGGCTCACAGTGTCTTCAAGCTCTGAAACTCTGAACACACAGAGTGTATTATACTGCAAATCTACTTATATAAAATTGCAATGTAAACGGATAAACTCAAAACATTCCATTAATAAAGGTAGTCTAAATAATGGAAAGAATCTTCTGGGAGAAGAAAAATGCTTCAAGAGGATGCTCGGTGACATACTGGTGGATGCTACTTTTGGCAACACCAGAAAGCCCAGATCAGTATTCACATTCCCAATAGCATTTTCATTTGGTGTAACTGAAATATCGCACTAGCTTCTCCTCATGGAATGGCCAGGAATCACATATTCTGAAAGCCATTCAACTTTTGAGTCAACATACTTTTCTTGTATGTTCTGATTACCATTTCTTTGGACTTTACAATTAAGAACGCAACAGCTAGGTGTTCTTAAATCCTACGCAGCTCAGTGTAATTTACTTCCACATAAACATGTGGAGGAATGGACTTGAAGGTATGACAGTCCTTGTACCTGTGATTTCCGTTTTCTTAGGCTTCATCAACTGTCCCATCATGGAGAGAATATCCTGCCCGCCCTAAAGAAAACAACATATAGAAATTAACATATCTTGTTTTTATTGCCCATGAGTGAAACACTGCTTGTAGAGAAAGAGCTGTGGAGGACCCACTGTCGTCAGGCTGCTAAGAGAAACTGCTTTTCAGGATTTTACAGCTGATGGTTATTCTAAAAATGCTAGTCAGGACCACTAGTCTACTACCTTTCACTAAGCAACAGCTGGTCTTCAAAGCAGTGACCAGAACTCAGCTTTCTTATGTCTTATGCCTGTGGCAAGGGAATTCATAAATAAAAAGGCTACTGAATCTGTATGCACAACCATGTTAGTGCTCATGTAGTCCTTCACTGCAGGGACCTTCCTACTGAGTCAAGCTCAAGAGACAGGATACAACCCAATGTTTGCAACAAATCTTTAGATATACAGCATGGAAAACCATTTGCTTTTACTACATTGCTGGAAGCACAGCATGAAAATTATGCTTCTGCCCAGTGTTTTAGGAACTGTTTATATTAATCCCTGTATGACAGACACAAGTTTGTGCAGTTGTCCCCTGGCAGTGTTACAATACCAATGTCATTTTTATTTGCTTACCCATCCCCTTACTTTTTTTTTTTTTTTTGCAAATTAGCTTTTATTTAAAATCTTCTACCTAATTTGTGGGTTCACTCACAGTGCAGTCCTAAGCATAGTTATACCATTCTGAGTCCAATGACTTCAACAGAAGAGTGTAACTCTGCTTAGAATTGCATTGCCAAAGTACTAAAATGTGTACACGGTTCAGTATTTGGCAATAATGAGTGGCAGCAGGCAGAGACGTTTTCAGTACCAGCAACCTGACCTCAGCTACTTCTCCCCTGAATCCAGAAAAACAAGTAATCCCAGAGTTTAAAAAGGCAACTGTGAGGAGTACAAGACGCTGTTTTTTTACTACAGTACCCTGTAAACAGTAGACAACCATGCTAGCATTGCTTACTACAGATGTTTCTATACTCTACAGGAGAGGAGATTAAATCATCTGTGTTACAATCTAACAGCACAGTTGAGTACCTGAGGCCTGGCATTGGCCACATCCAAATCATGCAGGGTGACATCTTGAATAATTTCTTTCTTCTTGTGGACATCACCCTTTGGCAAGGGGACATATTCTTCAGCCTCAAGGTCAAATTCTGTTGCATAGGTGTCACATCTGCCTTGCCTCTGTGAGAGAAATTTGGAAATCACGTATGCTATATTTATAGTAAAGTGTTATTGCCAATACTCAGAATGACACACAGCTGATAAACAAAGGTCTTGTTTTACAGTTACGATCCCAACAGGCTTTGCTTGACAGTTTTGAAAATGCCATGCTTGTCCTTGGGAAAAGAACGACTAATCAGGCTATGAAATCCTACTGAAAGCACCTGGTCTTTTCTTCATTCTTCCGAATGTATGAAATTCTTGCTAAAGGACAAATCCAGCAGATTAACCAGAGATTGGAGAAACTGTCCCAGACTTCTTTGGACATTGATGATTTATTGTATGATACAAAATATTATGCTCATCCATTAAACACCAAGTATCTCTCTACAGTACATTTTAAATCAGACATAAAGAGCATGCTAACTAATGCAGTATTCCTTTCTAGATGCATATATCTTATGGCAAAAATACCGAGGTGATAAAAGATAAAAGGTTCCCCGCAAATGAGACTGAAGTTGTTTAAGCCTTTCCCCTTACATACATACAACACATGGAGTTAAATATTAAAATAAATGAAAGCACACAGAACAGATGACCTCACCTGTGACTCTGGAAGCTTTGGAACTGGCATTCACTTCATGCAACAAGAAAGAAAACCCTGAGACTTTTCTCAGTGTAGCCATTCCAGAAAGGATTGATAAGGTTGTTAGGATACAGACCTTTGTCCAAAGAAGACGGGAAGTCCTGTAAGAATGCACATTACATCTGATCCCTGCCTTTGCTTTACCTTGACAGCTCCACTGTTTGCTTCAATGTAAATCACATCACCGGCTTTCACTCTTTTGCAGACTTTCAAAGATGCTGGGGTCTAACTGGAGGTAGAAAGAATAGATAGATATCTACTATATTAAAGATGAAAAAATTAACAACAGAATGAAGAAATAAAATCTAACTTTTCAGTGCTGGGAAACAGGAAACTGCTGTGTTTCAACCGAATACCATATCCCGTACCTTCTACACAATCTCTGGAATCAGTACCAGGTAACTGGCAAGATCTTAGGCAGATCAGGCTACAGAAGCTCTCTCCCCCCAGGACTTAGCTACGGTGACCCATGCAATGGTCACTTCCAGGCTTGATTACTGCAACTCGCTCTATGCAGGCTTACCCTTGAAGCTGATCTGGAAATTACAGCTGGTACAAAATCCGGCGGCGCGTCTGCTGACGTCGACGCCTGTGTGGGCTCATACAGCATGTGCTCTGTTAGCTGCATTGGCTGCCAGTTGAGTACCGGATTTGTTTCAAGGTGTTGGTAATCACCTTCAAAGCCTTATACGGCCCGGGACCAACATACCTAAGGGACCGCCTTTTCCTATATAAGCCTTGGAGAGCGTTACACTCTGAGAGTCAACATATCCCGGTGATCCCTGGCCCCCACCTGGCGGAACATGCTCCTTACTGAGATCAGGGCCCTGCGGGATCTTATTCGATTCCGCAGGGCCTGCAAGACGGAGCTGTCCCGTCAGGCCTTTGGCTGAGGCAGCGGGTGTCCACATATGCCCCCCCCCCGGTTGCGGTCTCCCACCCACTGATAACCGACCATACTTAGTTACATCAATGGGCTGGATTCTCCCTATGGCAAGCATGACTACTGTTTTTATATGTTTTAAATTTTATTGTATTTACTGAAATGCTGTGACCCGCCCTAAGCCCGTTTACGGGATGGGCAGGATATAAATGTGAAAAATAAAATAAAATAAATCTACTGATTTAAGTGGCCAAGTGTAAGTTACCCCAAAGATCCAATGGGCCGTGTGGTGTGGGTAGAAATACCAACCAATTGCTCAGATAGTACCTGTAGTAAACTGTTTCTGCTTCTTCTGCCTTTTCTTCCATTTGGAAGGTAAGAGGCCAAGGAGCACATGTGGAAGATCATCATACCTACCTTCAGCTGTTTTGTTCCTTTGGCAGTTTTTAGTCCTATAATGACATGACTAATGGTTTTGCCATATCCTCCCATAGGGTTCTCAGTTTCACATGGAGTTAATTCTGTGACTTCACCTTCATAAACTTCTTTGGTTTCTTTTATTCTCAACCCTGTAAAATATTGGTTACAAAATTGATAATTTAATTGCTATTTATATTTTACTACTGTACATTGCTGTATCGAAAAAACCTGGATCCCAATACTGGTAAAGTATTTGGATCTGGGATTTTTTGGAAATCCCAAATTCTGGGGGGTCCAATAGACCCGAACTGGAAATTACAGAGGGGGGGGGGGGAAGTGGCAGCAAAGCCACAAAAAACAGCAGAGAGGCAGCTCAGCTGGGGCTCTTTTGGGTGGTCCCTTTAAACCAGACTGCCCAACAAAGCCACAAAGCAACTGATCCTATGGGCAGAGCCCACCCTGCAGGCTCAGCTGAGGCTTTGCTGGACAGCCCGGTTTAAACTCGACTGCCCAACAGAGCCCATAAAGCAGCTGAGCCTGCAGGGAGAACTGTCTCCACAGGCTCAACTGGGGCTCTCTTCAGCACTGCCCAAAGAGCCCCAGCTGAGCCGGTGGGGAGAGTGTCCCCCTCCTGGCTATTTTGCGGGCTGTCTTTTGCAGTCCCTTTAAACACCCCCCATTTAAAGGGACTGCAGAAGAAAACCCAAAAACACCCGAGCGGCAGGGGCAATCTGCTCCAGCCCCCTAAGATGTTGTTCTGGGTTTGCTGGTAATTCCCAAATATATCCTGGATTGGGGGTGGGTGGGTTTGGTTCTCCTGAAAAAACCTGGATACATTTGGGATGCCGAAATATACCCCAAAAATCCCAATAAGGTGTTTTTCGGGTATATTTTCAGTTCGGGTAGACCTGACTGCTTGGAGTACTAGGGGATAAGGCAGGATAGAAATGTTTTAAATATTCTATGAAGTCATACTCTCCAACTTCAATACCCTTAGGAAACATTTATGTAAAAAAATTGGTCTAAAGCAAAAAACAAAACATTCCTTTCTGTATCATTTAAAAGGAAACTTTGGCAAGGAACAAGAATGAGCACATCATAAATTTTAGAATTCCAACATAGAATATATAGATATTAGCTAGGCCACAAATTTGAAAAATGGGTACTTAGTAGATGTTAACTGTACTGACATCCAATTTTCTTGTCCTATTCACTCATCAAAGCTATCCTTAGTTTGAAACTGAAATTCTGGATGACTGATGAAAATCTATCCTAAGTCTTGGTCAAATAAAATAAGCAGTTATTAGTTCATTTTAATGCTTCGATTGTTACAATAATTTTTTTGTAAAAAAGACACAACAATTACCAAAGGAATGTTTAATAAAATTTAGATTAGATTAATCTGACACAGAATTCAACAGATGGGAATAGAAGAATTTCTATCTTTCATTGAACACCAAATACTTGTTTAGAAATGTCTCTATGCTGACATGCAGGGAATGTGGAGCACCAACAATGTGTCTGGCTTTTAAATTATTGCTATCTCTAGAAATGACAACATGGATGACACAGGCTTCAACTGCTGGCTCAAGTTTCCAAATATGACAGTGAACTTCATCACAGCAAGGAAATATTGCCGACTGTGCTCTCTACATCTCTGGGCTCCCCCCCCTTCACCCCTGCCAATTTAACTGTAACTTAAAGACCACAGATGATTGAAAGCCTCTTTCTCACAGAAATCAATGGGCCACTTTTCCCCCGGTTGCAAGGACTGATGGAAATGTTTCTTCACCTTGATGCCATTGAATACTTAGATGAAGTCTATGGTAAATCATGATACTGAACCCCAGGAAATTAACGGATGTTGTACAAAATAATAAGACAATTAGGTTATCTTTAAGAAGTCCACTGGTTTGCAAGTTCTAGTTCTATCGGTGAGTAACAAAGACGACTTTGGATGCTTAATGTTTTCTCTGCAAATCCAACTGTTCCTCTTGACAAACTCAAATGTGCACATTCAACTGATAAATCCAAAAGTACTCAAGGGAAAATTAACTTAATTGACATGCTACTCATCTTGTTAGCACTGAATAACTTACAGTATTTTGTCTGGCACCATACTGAGAATACTTAAAACTGAGAGAGGAAAGGGAAGAGAAGAATCAAACTTAGTGTGTTGCTTTAGATTCACAACGTTCCACAATGAAGAAAGTGTACATACAGCTTGTACAGACATGCCTAATGAAAGAATAACAATGAATGAAAAGAAGCAAAAAATGGCCCACTAATCATGAGCCCTGATAAAAATACACAGTGCCCTGATACGAACACACAAATGGTTACTGACAACTACTTTCCTCTTTAAAAAATACTTACCAATAGCTCTTCGGAAGTTTTCCATCAAGACTTCTGTTTTCTTTATCTCTGTAGAGTACACCTCACTTCCAACCATAGGGCAAAAGGGAACCTTACTACCCAACTCCTGAGCAATAGCTAGAGCCAAAGCAGTCTGGGGTGGTGTTGGGGGTGGGGAGAGAAAAAAAAGATGGCACTATTATACACTAAGCCTACAAATTTCAAAGAAAACATTGTAGGAAAAAGCATGGCCATTCACAATATTTCTTCATGTCACCTTTCAGTAGGAATTGTCTCAAAGATCTCATACTTTAAATATAAAAACGAAACATAGCTAAAACTAAAACACTTCTAAACATCAATAAGAAAATAAAAGCAAGTCAGACTAAAAGCCAAAATACTAAGGTTTTCATTTGTCTCTGAAAAATGGAAAAAGAAACAGCTGTTCTGGCCTCAAAAGAGAGGGAATTTCATAGTTCTGGAGCACCTACCAAAAACAATCCTGTTCCTAGCTGACATCAGTCTAACATTTGAAGGAGAAAAAGAAAATGATATCAAGAACTGGACTTCATTGACTCATTACCAAGGGAACATAAACAAATGGTGCCTTCACGGCTTCCAGACTAGGGGTGTGCATTCGGCTATAGCCGAACTGAAAAAATGCCCGAAAAATACCTGGTATTTTTCAGGTATCACATCAGCTGAATACAGATCAGAGATCTGTATTTGTCTACCGGTATAGCTGAACCCAAAAAAGCCATAATTATCCGGCTTTTTTTCGGGTCCATTTTGCTATACTGAAAAACATAACAGCCGCCTGAGCTGCCAGTCAGCTGTTGGGTTTAAATGCCTTTATTTCCCTCCCCAATGTGGGGGAGGGAAAGAAAGGCATTTTAAACATGCCTGGTTCCCTGCCTGATCTTCTCCAGCTGCCCCGCAGGCACGGGGTACCTGGAAAAGATCAGGCAAGGAACTCAGGCATATTTGCATGCCTGCTGCAGTCTCCCCAGCCTGCCCGCTGAAGTGGGCAGGATGGGAAGACAGAGGGCAGGCATGCAAACATGCCTTCTTTATTCCCTGAGCCTCTCCGCTTTTGTGGAGAAGCTCAGGGAAGTGGGGGGGGGGGGAGAAAGCATGTTTAAATGCCTTTCTTTCCGTCCCTGAAATCAGG